GTCCCCAGCTCTGGTTAAACATTTTTCAGGGTTATTGAACATAACTTTTTTTTTTTTTTTTTGTCGTCCAGCAAATGCCTGATAAGAGGCTGCAATTAGAGGCGCACGGAAATGAAAATTTCAAAACCGAAACAAATTTAAAAAAAAAAAGTTTTTACCTTTTTTTTATTAACTTTCTCAAATTGTTTTATTATATTTTACTTTTAGGGGCTTTGGGGAAACATTGGGCATCTAAACAGACCCCTGATAATTCCCTTTTTTAAAACAAAAGTCCTCAAACCTTTTGAGCAGCCCCTGTTATAAATGAACAGTAATCCTCTATACTGAGTGTTCCTGTTCATTCATAACATGAGGACAGAGTATGTTTACTATAACCACAATCATGAATGAACAATGAGGTGATGTAGATCACTTCCCATTCATTCATAATTGGAGACACAAACATACTCTGTCCTCCCATTATTTACAAACACTCAGCTATCACTGACTGCTTGTACCCGCTCTCTATCCTGACAGCTGTCACAGGAGGTTGAGCTCCGCTCGCTCAGCCTCCTGTGACGGCGCCGGCTGTCTCTGCCCACACCGCTCTCCTGATCTGTGGCAGGAGGCTGAGCGCTGCGGGGAGGAGAGACGCCGGCTGCTCACAGCGCTCGGCCGCCTGTCAGTTTCTCTCCTCCCTGCTGGGACACAGCAGCACCCAGTGGGAAGGAGAGAAAGAATGGATGTACTGGCCTGAAAATGGCACTTTCAGCATTATGCCAGAAGTGCCATTTTTGGTCCGATATATCGCTGCCTCCCCAGCTGCAATGGTTTTGTGAAGTTCCCAATTAGGGTGGAAACACTAAAGCTCTGCAATTAGAATATTGTCTAATCCAGGGCTGGAAATTCCAGGTAGCCAATGCTTGAAAATGACAACTGGTGCCTAACTTCCAAGATTTCCTTTTAGTTGTTGGCGATGGAGGTGGTGCCTCAAAAAAAGCTGGCGCTTCATTTAATTTTAGTTTGGTTACTCCTGGCCTAATTTTCAGTGTTAACCTGGAGTCACTGCAGCCTTTAATCAGCAGCATGACATGGTAATATTTGCTCAAGCTGCAACAGTATGCATGCCACTGAAACCAAAGGACTAACACCCAGAACTTACAATCCAGTGACACCGGGACCAACAATTCATATTCGACTGACAGTACACATCCGCTGTTACCTGGCTAAGAAAACATACATTGTACTTAAAACTGACCATGTACTTTCCCAAGTCATCTTCCAGGGCAGCACCTGAGAGGGGATCCACCCACAACAGGAAACTCATCATCCACAATTAAAATAAAAGGGGCGGTACAGCCCCACCACCTCAGCTTATTGTGTTTTCTCTGGCCTAACGGGAGCATCATAACAGTTTGTTATTTTCTCCATAGGCCTGCATGCTAGTTGCAGGGGCCTCCCAGTGTGTGCTCCCCTGTGAATCGGACAGTGGACCGGGCGGGGGCTTGCATGCCTGGGCTTGACCTAGGATTAACCTCCTGGTTATTCTATTATGGGACTCTCCCTCCCCATCTATCCCTGAGGTTTCTTATCTTCCTTGAGAAAAAGCAACCATCTCTGGGTGCATGTTGGCTCTAGCAGAGCTTTCCCGTACTCACATTTGGTTCAGCTCAGAGTTCTCTGCCTTGCCTTGAATGGGGTGGTTTGTCATCCATGCTGCCATGTTGTGGATATTCATATCCTGTAGCATCCAGGGCCTCCTTGAATGGACAGCTATGCGATGGAGTGGTGAGTACCGGTGGCGCCAGCATCCACAGACCTCAGGGAGGGAGCCACAAGCAGTCATGAACATGAAGTGTTCCGCAAGGCTTCCTCTAGTTGGCAGTGGTAGACCATGCAGCCTAACCGCTGCTGTGTCATTCACGGACACTAATGGCTCCAAAGGAAGGCTTAAAGGGAAGTCTCCTTCCTCCTACCCCACCTACTGTGGGGGGGGCCCTTGGGAGGTGATCCTCCTTTGGGGTGTTGGTTGCTGAGGGTTGTAGTGCCTCTTATGTCGTATGTGTTATATGTCCCACCAGTGATGTGGATAGTTGGAGGCATGAGCTGCAGTGCAAACACCTCTTCAATCTCCAAGCAGCAATCCCAGACAATAGGCAACCTAATTGGGTCATAGGCAACAGCCTATCTGTGTATGCAAGGCAAACAGAGGCCGGTAACAAATGTTTTACAGACTCCTTTTGCAAATAAACATTGGTGTCCATAAGCACTGGAGGCTTATTTTACACCAATTTTAGGTGCACATTCTGGTTGTTTCCAGATGGTTCACAAGGAGAGGCTGAGCGTGATGGTCAAAACTTGATAGTGCTGCAGACGTATTGTGCCTCAGGGCTACAAAGTTTTCTTTTGTTAGCAACTCTGATTTACCACCTGGCTGTGCTGCGGCTCCCGATTAAGTTAACGTTCTGGCCCGGCCTGCACTGGAGAGTACAGCAGATATCAATCCGCCGCTGTATCTACTGTACTCTCCAGTCCAGATAGTTCAGTCTGACTGGATTCAGAGAAAGGTAGGCAGGCAAGGAGATGTGCACTGTGGCAGGGCAGGGGACACTGATGGATATTATGTATTCCAAGCCCACCTAATATCCATCATGTATATCCATCACTGTCCCCTGTTATAGGAATGCAACAAATGCCAGCAATAGTACATTATACATACAGTGTATAATGTATTGCTGGGATTTGTAGTCCTCTATAGCTGATGTTGCATATACAGCACAAT